TGTGTGTGTGTGTGTGTGTGTGTGTGTGTGTGAAAGAGAGAGAGAGAGAGAGAGAGAGAGAGAGAGAGAGAGAGGTATACCCAAGTGCAGTGCCCAAGGAGGCCAAAGAGAGTATGAGATCTGGAGCTGGAGTTACAGGTGGCTGTGAGCTGCCCAATGTGGGTTCTGGGAACAGAACTTGGGTCCTCTGCAAGAGAAGTCAGTGCTCTGAACTGTGGAGCCATTTCTCCAGATCAGTCTTTTTACTCTTTAATTGGTTCTTTTGTTTTGTTACAGTTTCTCTGTGTAGCCCTGTCTGTTGTAGAACTTGCTCTGTAGATGGGAAGGCCTTGGGCTCAGAGCTCCACCTGCCTCTACCTCCCGAGCGCTGGGATTAAAGCTGTGCGCTACCACCCAGCCTTACTCTTTCATTTTATGTGTGTCAGTGTTTTGCCTGCACGTATGTCAATGCACCACTTGCAGGCCAGGAGAGGGCGCTGGATGCCCTGGGAGTGGAGTTACAGGCAGTTGTGAGCCACCATGTGAGCGCAGGAACCAAACCTGGGTCCTGTGGAAGAGCAGCCAGTGCTCTTAACTGTAGTCCATCTCTGTCCAGCCTCACCATTTTACTACTTAATTATAACCTTACCTAGCTTTCCCGATCTCTAGGATCTGGGGACCATCACTTTCCCCTCCTAGCTTCTTTACCCACCTCACTTTTTTTCTTTACAAACTCTAGTTAATAATTAATCTTTATCATCACCCACCCTACTTACCCTTCCCACTCCTAATCTTATTAATTAAAATCGGAGTGTACTCCACACAGTCCATGGTTGTTTATCCCCCAACAGTTATTGAAGTCAAAGAGGCCTCTGTGATTAACTGGCTGATGTGACATTTGCTTAGTGGGAAATCAAGCAGCTGGGGTTGCTCTCTGAGTTAACACCCTACTCACGGAATAAAATAGAGCTTATACCAGGCGCCCAGAGCTCTTGGTGTGAACAACTATTTTCTAAACCACATATTCAACATTGCCATATCCAAGTCTCACTTGAATACATCAATGGGAAGAATAGAGCTGATTAAAAAATAAAGAAACAAAAGACACATAAAAATAAAATAAAGCAAGCAATGAAATGATACTATTTGTGTAAATCCTACACAGTAACACAAGAGACAGGAAATACCAGAACAATATAACTCCTCAAACAACAACAACAACAACAACCCCCCCGCCCCCAGTCTTACAGCAATGACCTCTAGCAAGACTGAATTAGATGAAATACCGGACAGAGAACTCAAAATAATGATAACGATGTTCAAAGACACAGACAAGCAGTTGACTGAAATAAAGGAGGCAATAGATGAAAGAGGAATTCAACAGAGAAATGCTAAGATTCAGAAATGCTAAGATTCTATTGAAATGCTGGCGGGGACTATGTGGGAAGTCTCAGCAACAGAAGGGCTAAGGAGAGGAGAGAGTATCTAAAGTGGAGGAAAGGGGCAACCCAACAAAAATAAATACAAAATAATCATAGAGGCCTGGGCTGCGGTGTTGAAAGCCTTGAATCCCAGCACTCAAGAAGCAGAGCCAAGCAGATCTCTTAATTCAAGTCCAGCCTGGTCTACAGAGTGAGGTCCAGGACGGCCAAGGCTACACAGTGAAACCCTGTCTGAAAAACTAATAGTAGCAATGTAACAGTGGGAATTTAAGCTGTTTGTAACCCTCTGACAAGGCTAAATATATGGGTTATAGACATAGAAGAAGAAGAATCTTAAAGACACATAAAAATTGTCAAAATAATCATAAAGGTTTGCCAGAGTTAGGAAAATTGCCCAGCAATAGACACCAAGGAGACGGGGCCAGAGAAGAGCCTCCCTCTATACAAATACAGAACAGAGAAAGTGCTGAAAGCATGAAGCGAGGAACATCAGGTCACCTCGTAAGGGCAGGCCATCAGGTTGTTCCTCTTAGGCCTCTTAGGTCTGGAGGGCTTGGAATGATGTATTTCAAGATCTGAGAGATAACAACAGCAAAACTCTCTGCCATTATAAAAGGAAAAATTAAGGAAAAAAAAAAACTTTCCACGATAAAAATAAACTAAAGGAATCTAATACCACTAAGCTAGTTCTGCAGAAGATACTTGAAGGAATTATCAGAATGAAAAGAAAAATCATCCAAATCCATCCATGAAGACTTCCTCATAGACACACACAACAAAATCTCCAAACACATTTTCCAACAATAACTCTAAATACTAATGGTCTCTTAATTGGAAAATAAGACACCATTATGCCCAAGACAATGGGGAGCGCCTTATTCAAACTATCACATTCCACTTCTTGGGCTCCAAAATCTTCTGACCATTAGTGTTTAACCAACTTCAGAAATCCCTGTAATCTTCACAGTCACAGAGTATAATAAAAATCCAGAGATTCATCAGAGACTCCAGGCCATCTCTTAGTTGTAACACCCTGTTAAAAAAAAGTAAGAGACTAGTAGACTGGGTACTATCAATGGTATTCTCATGTGGTAAATCTAACTGCTGCAGTACCGAGCTGCCAGGCAAGATGCCCTGGATGGTGCAGTAACAGCATGACTGTTCTGGGATGACCAACCACTCTGTAATTAAACGCGAGGCCTGCTCCACAGGAGATTCATGCCTGGCTGTGTATCTTGGTTAGTTTTTATTGCTGTGCTGAAACACCATGACCATAAGCAAACTGGGGAGGAAAGGATTTATTTCCCGCAGGCACCCAGGTAACGGTTCATCAAGGGAAGTTAGGTAGGGTCGGGGCCTGGCAGCAGGAGTGGATTCGCAGGGCACAGGGGAGTGCTGTTTCCTGGCTTGTACCTCATGGCTTGCTCACCCTGTTTTCTCAGAGCACCCAGGACCACCACCCCAGGGCTGGCCCCACCACAGTGTTCTGTGCCCCGCCACATCAATCACTAATTAAGGAAATGACCTACAGGCCTGCCCACAGCCCCACTTATGGAGTCCTTTTCTCAGATGGCCCTAGCTTGTGTCAGGTTGATTGACATGACAACCAGCCAGCACACACTGTGAACCTCCCCCAGAGCCCACATGGCTCAGGAGGGGCAGACGTGAGTGGGGAGCATGTTGTTATTTTGTAAGTGACATGCCAAACCGCCTTCTAAGTGTTTGCACTCACACACATTTGCAGCTCATCAGTGCTGCATAGCCTTGCCCAGAGACACTTCTGTGTGCAGGAAAAAGCAGAGACTCCAAGCTGGGCCGAGGGCTGAGGTTGACTACTGAGTGCTCATTCCTAAATGGGGCATCCATATCAACCCCCTCACCAAGGCATCGTGCAAGAGGGCAAAAGGAATGGCCATCTGGAGGACGGGGAGGGGCGCTGTGGGCGTGCTGTCTCCCGGACATGCCCTGGGCATTGAACTCATGAACTTACTGTAGCTGTCATTACTTACTGCAGTGGGTTCCAAAGAAGCAGAAAGAAGAAAAGAACAGGAAGGAGTGGAGGGGAATGTATTGGGTGTTTTGGGGAAGTTGGGGTAGAGGATCAAGATACATTTTACATGTATGAAGTTGTCATATAATAAAAAAATGTGGCTGGAGAGATGGCTCACTGGTTAAGAGCACCAGCTGTTCTTGCAGAGGACCTGCGACAGATGCCCAGCATCCACATGGCAGCTGACAACTCTCTCTGTCTCCAGTTCCAGGGGATCTGACACCACCTTCTAGCCGCCACAGGTGTGCTGCATGCAGGCGGCCCATAGACCTATATGCAAGCAAGACACTTGGACACATGACATAAATCTTAAGATAGGAAACTTTAAAACATTTCTATGAAGATTCCAGCCATCAAGGCATTGTGGCATGGGCAGAAGTATCAAGAGTGCAATGAGACAGAACAGAGAGCCCAGAGATAAACCCTCAGACACATCCAGCACACCTCTGAGATGAGAGCAGAGGAATACGGCGGAGAACAGGCGATCTCTTCACCGACGGTGGGAGAGCAGCTGCTCATCCATATGCACAAAGATGAATCTGAGCACAGAACGTGTGTCTTCCAATGAATATACCCAAGGGGCAAGGTGGCCATCATGTCACAGTGCTGGCTACAAGAGCCTGATGGCCAAGACTGCATCCAGACGTGAAGAGGGCCGGCCCTACAGAGCTGTCCTTGGGCCTCCAGGCATGCACACGTGTGCATCCCTGCAGTAACAATAAGAGAGGCCTTGAGTTTGGTGCCCGGAACCCCAACAGGTAGCTCTCAACCAGCTTCGCGTGGAGCCAGGGCTTCTGGGCTCTGAGGGCCCCTGCATGCGTGTGTCCACGTCCACAGACAGACGCGCTGTAACTGAAGATTTAATGTGCTTGTGCGTGGGGTCGCAGGAGACCCAGGTCAGTGCTGCCTAACTGCAGACGTGACTCAGCTTCCTGGGAGTTTCTGTTGCTTTTCCCCTTAGTGACGGAGCCTGGACTGGGACGGGGGTGGGACACTCTGCAGGGGGGAGTGGGGCCAGGGGAGGGGCAATATAAGGGATAAATGGATCCCACTGACCCTACACACTTCTATAAACCATGAAATTCAGTCAGGGGGAGCTGAGGTGTGGTGATCATGTGGAGAGCTGGCCACCCTGGGTCCCCTGGGGGCGGGGGCCGGCAGGGCAATAGTGAGTTTTGAGATGGGTAAATGGGTCCCTTTCTGGATGGCAGGGGTTTCCAGAGACATTGGTCAAGTGTGAAGCTTTAAACACCCTCTTGGCAGGCCTGGTTCGGGGCCAGGGGGCCGGGCCCTTCAGAGGAAGTGGGGCCTCACAGTAGCATTCTTTGAGTAAGGAGCAGAGGCTGGGCTCCCGGTGGCTCGGCGACCTCACATCTGGCGGGAGGTGCACTGCTGGAGACGGGGCTATCTACGCCTTTAGGAACAACTCTGGGATGTGAGACCCGAGCTGTGTGACCCTGGACGGGCTAGCCCAGCCACCCCCCGCCACTCCCATTTTTGTGTCAAGAATGGGAATTGTAAAGCCTGACCTGCACACAGGTAACACTGAACACGTTAGCCAGGGCTCCTCTGGGCACGTTCGGGTGCATGTGTGCGTGTGTGTGTGTGTACGTGGAGGTTAGAGGTTGATGTCCTGTCTTCCTCGGTGGCTCTCTGCCTTAGTTTTTGAGGCAGAATCTCTCCGAGAAGCTGGAGGTCATTTCTTCTAGATGGGCCACTGACCCCAGGGATCTTTCTGTCTGATTCTCTCAGGCTGTGACTGCAGACCTACAGGAGGGCTGAACAAAGGAGAGGAAACCATGAACCCAGGTGCAGGCTGGGTGAGAAATGGGTGGATCGGGACCCCTCTGGGGAGTCAAACAGCCCTCTCACACCCACGAGGGTCTGCCGGTCTGCCGGATAACACAGATATTTCCACTATGACTCACAACAGCAGCAGAATTACACTTATGAAGTCGAAATGATATACTCATGGTTGGGGGGGCACCACACTGTGAGGAATGGTACTAAAGGGTGGTGGGCAGCACGAGGAAAGGTCGGGGACCACAGAGCTGGAGAGATGCAGACCTACCTTCTGAGCCTTTTGAAGGAGAACAGCTCCACTTGATTCTCTCACTGAAGCTAGAGTTCATCAGTTCTTGACTCTGAACTTCTGGCCACCGGAATCATGAAAGAAGGCCTGTTGTTTTAAGCCAACCACTTTACGGTAATCAGTTACCAACTCCTGGCCCAAGAAAGGAGTCTGTCCGCAGCTCAACACGCCACCCCACGCTCACGTGCATGCCTTGCACACTCACATTGAGGAGAGTCTCACTGCTCTCTGCATCCAGTGTGTAAACCAATCAGGCTAACCTTTGCCCAGTGAAGGGAGGGCGTGGGTTGCTGGAGATTTGCATCTCCAAAGGAACTAACGATCACAGCTGGGTATGGGTAGGAAGGCCACGCCCCTATACGGCTAGGCTAGGAATCACAGGCTGTGAAGGCCCACCCCTCCCCCTGGGGTCCAAAGTCTCCGTTACAACGGCTGGTAGGACTGGGCTGGGTTTGCTGTAGAAAAAGGAACCTGGGATGTGCCGTCAGTGGGTGTCTGTGAGGGAGGGTATGTGAACACGTGACATCAGCAGGAGCCGCTTCTGGATGTGGAGTTCGGCAGCGAGTTCGTGAGAACAGATCGGTGGCAGTGGGAAGACGTGGCCACAGGGTGCACCGGTGTGGCCACGCACGCTGTCATCTATTGTGCGACCCCATCGAGATTCACAGAGACAGAACCAGTGAAGCCATACCAAAGCAGCTCAAAGAGAAGATGCCACTGGGTCCTCCAAACTCAGAGACCCCTGTGTTGGGAGAAGGGCACTCATAGGACACACTCGGGGATCCCATCTGGCTCCTGACACGGCACCAGTGGGCCTCAGTATCACGGTGACAGGCTTGGTACCTTGCGTTATGCTTGCACTAGGGGTGGGAGCTGAAAAGCTGGGTGCTGATCTAGGGGGAAAGGCTTTGCCACTCCCATGTCCATTTCAAGCTGAGCTGGGTTCAGGGTTAGTTCCGGGCGACACATCTTCCTCCTTTCTACACCTACAGACCCGCTCCGGCATCTCCGCCGTGCGTGGGGTGGTGGGTATTCCACAGACGCGGACCCTTGAAAACCGAGACGCGAACGCTAGAACTGGGCCGGGCGAGGGGCGTGGCCGCCGCAAGCCACGCCCACACCGCCCGAGGTGACTGGGAACGGAGAGTTTTCGCTGAGACACCGTCCAAGGCAGCACGGGGCAGGCAGGGACCGATAGTGAATGCCAAACCTGAGCTCAGCCGCACAGCCGGCGTACTTCGGCAGCCCTAACCGTCCCGTCTGGCAAGCTACGTCAGGAAGCTTTGCAGAGAAGTTTCTAGTAGGAGACAGAGCAGCGTTTAATAAAGGCCCCGAGGCCCGCCCTACCGAGTCCTGTGAGGGCCACGCGTCCGCACCCTGTGCTGGGTCACCTCCGCCCCGTCCGGGAAGCAGAGTTCTCCCCGGTAGACGCAGGCCTGCCCATTCTTCGTCATTCTCTGCAGGTAGGAACTTGCAGCGGCCTCTTGGCTGCCGGCACCACGCCCTCAGCGGGGCCGCGCCCGGAAGTGCCGCTGGGAAAGCCTGCGGGCGGCTTTCCCATGGCGACGGCCGCCCCGCGGCGCTTCTGCCGCTGCGCCTGCTTCTGCTCGCAGAACCTGTACGTGGCGCGCTACGGGCTGCACCTACGCTTCCGGGACGAGCAGCAGCTGCGCCGGGACTACGGCCCGGTGAGGGGGCCGGGGCGGCGCCAGCGAGGGCAGCAGGGATGGCACCGGGACTGGCTTTGCCCGAGGTGCAAACCGCGTGTGCACATTTGGCCTCTTGCTGCAGCATGGCAGCTCTCTAGTCAGCCTGAGGAACACGCGTGCTGAGTGCGCTGGGCAGAAGTTTTCACAGATCTCCTGAGGAGCCCGTTACTCTCATCTCCGCGGCAGGGGTGGCGGGCCGCTGAGGCTCGGAGATGTTTATTTACTTGCCTAGGGTTGCGCAGTCCCGGCTAACTGGTCTTTCTGCTCGTAGCTCCTGCGCAGCCGCGGCTGTGTCAGCCCCAAGGACTTCCAGCAACTCTTGGAGGAGGTAAGGAACCCCGTCAGGTCTTTCTCTGGAGTCCTTGACCCTGAAAGACTTCTTCACTCTCCTTTCTCCGTTCCTGCTTTCACTCATTCCCGCTCCTAGATCCTGACACAGGAGAGAGATCGAGAAAGAAAATTGTCTACAGCATCCCCTTCTCAACAGCTCAGTGGGGGTAGACGGGGCCATCACCCACCCCTGTTTCAGCTGTCAGGACACCTTGATACCTGCAGTGAACCGTGGCAGGTTCAGAAGTATAGGGAGAATTGCCTTCCAGCCTGGGCCCCACATTGCTTTTCCTGGGCCTCGGTTTCTTCACATGTACAATGGTGTTGGGGGTGGGAGGCCCCGGTTTCTAACTATCTTTGCCGTCCCAGCTTGAGCAGGAGGTGGGGCGCCGCCGCAGGCTGGGACAGGAGTCAGCTGCCAGGAAGGCTCTCATTGCCAGCTCCTATCATCCAGCGAGGCCTGATCTCTACAGCTCGCTACAGGTACCAGGCCGGCCCCGGGGGCGTGGGGGACTGGCCGAGGAGGAGGCTGCCCTGGTGGGAGCTAAGTTTCCACAGCTGTCCTGTGTTCTGCCCCCAGGATGCGGCTCTGGCCCCTGAGTTTGTGGCTGCAGCTAAATATAGTGCTTCCCCAGGCGCACATCTTGAGGGCCTTCTCCAGCTGCTGGAGACAGTGTCAGGTGAGGCGCCATCACCAGCCAGCACTGGGATAGGGAAGCCCGAGATACTTGGGTATGATGCTGGGTGGGGGCTTTGGGGGGGGGAAGGGTTTGAGAGAGGGTTTGAGACAGGGTTTCTGTGTGTAGCCTTGGCTGTCCTGGACTCTGTACACAGGGCTGGCCTGGAACTCACAGAGATCCATCTGCCTTTGCCTCCCAAGTGCTAGGATTAAAGGCTGCCCCACCACCAGGTGAGGTTGGATGCTTTCTTTACCTCTCATCTCTGGTCTAAAAATATGAGCTACCAGGAACTGGGAAGGCCAGTGGGACCAATCTGCCTAGAGTAGGGCATCGCATATATTCATTAATTCATCCATTCGCTTGTTCATTGGCCACACAGCTAGGATCAGGGCAGCAAGTCACTCTGCCCATTGTACAGAGGAAACAGGCTGGAGGCAATAAGATGACAAGCTGGGGCTGGAGAGATGGCTCAGAGGTTAAGAGCACTGGCTGTTCTTAGAATGGTCCTGAGTTCAATTCCCGGCAACCACGGACTGGCTCATAACCCTCTATAGTGAGATCTGATGCCTTCTTTTGGCCTGCTGGCACACATGCAGACAGCACACTGTATAAATAATAAATAAATAGGGGCTGGAGAGATGGCTCAGAGGTTAAGAATACTGGCTGTTCTTCCAAAGGTCCTGAGTTCAATTCCCAGCAACCATATGGTGGCTCACAACCATCTATAGTGAGATCTGGTACACAGACAGAATGATGTATAAAGAATAAATAAAATTAAAAATAATAATAATAATAAATAAATAAATCTTAAAAAAAGAAAAAAGATAAGCTGTTTCATGGGGACATTGAATTGGAGCTCCTGGCCAGTTACCTGCCCCTCCTTCTCCAGAGGAGAAACGCATCTACCGGGTGCCCGTGTTCTCTCTGGAGTTCTGCCAGGCGCTGCTGGAGGAGCTGGAGCACTTCGAGCAGTCGGACATGCCCAAGGGAAGGCCCAACACCATGAACAACCATGGGGTGGGTGAGGCCTTGCCCGGGAACCCAGGGAGTGAGGGCGGCTAGTGTGGGAGGCTCATCTGAGGCACAGCAGGCCGGCTACCCGCCCCCACTCTGAACCCAAAGGCAACCATGAAAGCAAACAGCTTTTGCCCTTAACGACATCTTGGGCAAAGAATTGTGGGGATGCGGGGTCAAGCTCCTGAAGTCTCCCTGCTGACTCCTGGGACTCCTTCCCAGGTACTGATACACGAGCTAGGCCTAGATGGCCTGCTGGTGACGCCTCTGCGGGAGCGCTTCCTGCAGCCGCTGATGTCCCTGCTGTACCCAGACTGTGGCGGGGGCCACCTTGATAGCCACCGTGCCTTTGTGGTCAAGTACGCGTTGGGCCAGGACCTGGAGCTGGGCTGCCACTATGATAATGCTGAGCTCACCCTCAATGTGGCTCTGGGCAAGGCCTTCACAGGGGGCGCCCTATACTTTGGGGCCCTCTTCCAGGTGAGTGAGACCCACCAGGTGGGGCCCAGGCAAGCATGAGTGCTCCGGCCTGAACCACACCTTCTGCAGGCACCTGCAGCCCTGAAGGACCCCCTGGAAGTGGATCACGTGGTGGGCCAGGGTATCCTGCACCGTGGTGGCCAGCTGCACGGGGCTCGGCCCCTGGGCACGGGAGAGCGCTGGAACCTTGTTGTGTGGCTCCGGGCGTCTGCTGTTCGAAACCACCTCTGTCCCATGTGCTGCCAGAAGCCAGACCTGGTAGATGATGAAGGTTTCGGTGATGGCTTCACCCGGGAGGAGCCTCCAACTGTTGATGTATGTGCTCTGACTTGAGCCTGATTCCCCCAGGAATCCGGAAGTGCTGTGGCAGCAGTTCTTGCTGCCATCCTTGGGCAGGGAGGGCAAAAATAAACTCTGAACAATGACATTCATTGGGTCAAAAGGACATGCCCTCTTCAGACAGATGGAGCTTTCATAGGACAGGGCTCCTGAAAGACAAGCCTAGTTTGGGATGAAATACTGAGGGTTAAGGGTGGAGCAACCCAGGAAGGGAAAAGGCCGCAAAAAGATAGTTTTCATCTAATGATGTCCAGCCACACAGCCTGACCCCTGTGGAGCTCTGACTGGGCACATGGGGGTGGGGCTTCAGCCAGTGGCTCGATGGATCTGGCCAGCAACGAGAGCCCCCACCAGACATCTACCTCAGATAGGGTGGCTCCTGGGGGCTTAAGTGTATGTTACTGCTGGGAGTCGGGGGGGCCAAACTATCTGGGTTCTCATCTCTGTTCTGGCATGTCCAGTTGTGCAACTGTGGACTCCTTGAGTCCTGGGTGTTGTGACAGTCCATGGAGCTGAGGTTTGTAGCACTTTGTAACAGCCTTCTATTTGCTATTATTATTTAAGAGCTTGCAGCTGGCAGTTCCGAGACTGCATGAGGGGTGCGCATGGCTGTGTGCTGTTGGAGTTACATATTTGAAATCCTGGGGACTTCCGTTGTTAGTCTTGAATTCTAGCTTTTCTGATGCAGCAACACCAGCTTCCATTCTCACTGCAAAAAGCAGATGGAGCAGAGTCTCAGTTGCACACCCGACGGGCTGGTGATTCTTTTCTTAATTGGTTGTCACGGTCTATGGCTCTTGATGGGCAGTTGGGTTTGCGACCTCCACGACTGAGTGATGATGTTAATACCAGACGTCAGCCCAGCGGAGTTCTCAGTCTGGTGGAGGGGACAGGCTGGCATACTGGGCAGGGAAAGCAGTAGGAGGGTGGCTTCCAGGAAAGTGAGAGGTCCAAGAGCTGGTGAGTGTCGCTGGGCCAGGTCTGTCTACCACCCACGTGAAGGCGTAAGGTGGACTCTCATTCTTGTTGGAAGTGGGCTTGCCAAGAGACGGAACCCAGGTTCCCGGAACTAAAGGCAGCATGATTCAAACTACACCCGGACGATGTTCCAGGATGGCCCCAAGCCGGAAGTGGGCTGGAAAAACCTAACCCGCCCCAGTTTCCTCGCGCGAAGGCATGCTTTGAGCTGGTGGTTGACGTGGGACCCGGCAGCCACAAGAGTCATCTCTGGGCAGCTAGGTTGCCCTCTTGCAGCTGAGGAAAGCTGCGGAGTTCCCCGCGGCGCAGAGTCTAGTGCGCAGGCGTGTGGGCGGGGCTGGCCCTTAAAGGGAGCGCGTTGTGGAGTCGGAGGAGCTGGGGGTCTCTAAGTGCGAGGCTCTGTTGGGTGGGAATGGAAACTGGGCGCCCTGTGGACCAGACCACATTGGCGCTGAGTTTGGATTCACTGCCGACGTGCCCAAGAGGAATTGCAGATTAAGCGCTTTTCTTCCGGTCTGGAGTCCGCTTCGCTATGGCTCACGTTGGGTCTCGCAAGCGCTCAAGAAGTCGCAGTAGGTCCCGGGGTCGGCGAGGGTCAGAAAAGCGAAGTAAGAAGAGTAGTAAGGACTCCTCGAGAAACTGCTCAGCCTCCAAATCCCAGGGTCACAAGGCCAGCAGCACCTCCGCTACTGAGGGTGAGGACCAGGGGAACGGGGAAAGGGGTGTGTGGCATCTGCGCTGCGGGAGGCTTCTGTCTGCCAGTCCTGCCCCCAGCGAGCTAGCGAGAGATTCTGGGTAGAACCTGAACTGAGGCCCTCGGGTGGGGAGGGGGCGCCCTTGAGTGGACGTGTGCCTTCTTCCTTCCTTTAATGCGCTGGGGCCTCGGGGTCGGGCCTGGCCACGCTTCCAGGCACACAGTGACTTCTAGAAGCCCAAAGAAGGTTTCGAATGTGCTCTTGGAGAGCATGTCGGGAGGGTCCTACCCCGTAGAGGCCTGACCCTGCTCCAGGCCAGAGCAGGGGACAGAGGCCTTACCTTATCCCTGCATCACAGAGAGAAGCAAGCACAAGGCCCGGAGGACAGCGAGATCCAGCTCTTCCTCCTCTTCCAGTTCTTCCAGCTCCACATCGTCTTCATCCTCCAGTGATGGCCGGAAGAAGAGAGGGAGGCACAAGGATAAGAAGAAGAAGAAAAAGAAGAAGAAGAAACGGAAGAAGCTGAAAAGGAAGGGCAAGGAGAAGGCAGTGGTGGTGCACAAGGCTGAAGCTCTGCCCGGCCCCTCGCTGGATCAATGGCACAAATCAGCTGGGGAGGACAACGATGGCCCAGGTACCGAGTGAGTCAGCTTGCCGTGAGGAGAGGGTTCTCTCCCCGGGTCTGACACTTCCTCGGTATTTCCTTCCAGTCCTGACCGATGAGCAGAAGTCTCGTATCCAGGCCATGAAGCCCATGACCAAGGAGGAGTGGGACGCAAGACAGAGTGTCATTCGAAAGGTGGTGGACCCAGAGACGGGTCGTACAAGGTGTGGAACCTGGCTCAGCCAGCTAGTCCCGCCCTCAGTACAGTGGGGAGGATTGGCTCAGGATGTGCTCTGGTGGGAAAAATGTCACGTGATGTGACATCTCCGCTGTTACCGCCTGTGCCTCTTGAGCAGTTCCAGGACTGGGAGGGCCTTAGGGCTTTTCAAATGGTTGCTGTTGGCTGGCCTGGGTTGATGGTGCAGGCTGACAGGGGAGAGTCCACCTGGACCGTCACTCTTTCTGTCCCAAGAATTGGTAATGGACGGAGGAGCACTCAGGCTTCCCCTGCTCAAGGTGGTTGGGCTTACCCAGGATCCCTTTCCTTGGGTAGTTTTGGTTCTGTTGTTGGGGAGTGAGATCCCCAAACTCTTTCTTGCTCTGCTGATGACTCCCTTACCCCCAGGCTCATCAAGGGAGATGGTGAGGTTTTAGAGGAAATTGTAACCAAAGAACGACACAGAGAGATCAACAAGGTTGGTGTTGCCATTTTGCCCATGCTGTGCCCACGTTGTCTACCCACTGTTTCTCATGCCTCCATCCTGTTTCCTTCCTCAGCAAGCCACTCGAGGGGATGGCCTGGCCTTCCAGATGCGAGCGGGACTGCTTCCCTGAAGGCCCTGGTATCCCAGGTTTGTGAACTGCTGTAGGTGGCTTGGAGACCGATGGGTCTACCTGCCCATCCTCTTGTGGGTGGCCTCTGGCCCAGCCCAGCATCCTCGTGTGTGTAGTAGGTGGCCTGAACACCGAATTGGACAGTCACTATTAAATGATCTTGGCCACAGAGTTCCTGTCCTGTAGCTTTCTGCGCTGAGGGATGGGGCTGTTGCCATTTGGCTTTTAGAGTGAGCTGTGCTCATCTCTGGGGAAAGCAGGCATGTCCCTTGATGGTAGTGATGGTAGACTGCTCAGCCATCCTGTTCCTCTTTACGTGGCCCCACCAGGACCAGAGCTGACCCAACCCTGGCTGAGTCAAATTCAGCCTTGGTCCTTAGGCACTGTGTCTTTAAGCCTGTGTCCCATTCTAGATATCATGACAGACAGGAGCCTGGCCAGGTAAGGAGTCCCAGCTCTGGCTTATTGGCAGTGTCCCCTGGGGACAAGAGACCACAGACCTTCTTCACTAATCTGCATGGTCAGGGCAGTCTGCTGTTAACATGTGTCACTTGCTGCACTGGTGTCCCTACACACCATGCCTTCAGTGCCAAGATGCTCATGCCCACCCACACACCAGGAGACCACCGGTGCCGCCACAGTAAAGAGACCAGAAGGAAGCCTCCTGCTTCTTTAATTGGTGTAACAGACTGTGACACAGTATACAGAGAGCACACTCAGGCCAGACGATGCAGGGACAGCACGGGTGGGGTCAGGACAGGGTTCACACATGGGCCAGAGAAACAAACGGTTCAAGGACACATGGGAGGGGGCTGAGATGTGAAGAAGGGTGGGGCAATGGGCAGCTCACACAGAGCCAGGATGGGAATAGGGTTCTTTGCTAAATCCTTCTTTAGAAATCAAAGAGAAGGCAGGTGGTTGGTGCTGGGTGGCATCAAGGCTTAGTCATGGGGACAGGGGATGGGGGGGGACTAAGGCTTCTACTCTAACAGGCCTGGGGCGGGTGGCAGTCAACAAGGTCTGCCTCACCCTTTGGTTACGAATGGCCAGGCCTGAGCTCTGCAGCTCAGCGCCTGACACTGTAAACATTTTTTGGTATTTTTAAAGGACTTTGACCTTCCTTTCTTAGTTTCTGTAAAATTGGGCTTCCTCAAGAGAATGAGTCAAAGGAAATCTTAAGGGAGGCAAAAAAGCAGACTTGAGCGAGGTTTTGGGGGAGGCTGCCCGTCTCACCATCTATGGCTGAGGGCCCTGGGAGAGCCCCAGGGGACTATTGCTGTTGTCCTTGGCATGGCTGGCGGCTGGGCAGAGAAGGGCATTCAGAGCCACAGAGGGCTACCCAGGGTAGAGACCAAGCCCACTGACCCCAGGACCTCCCTGGCCTTTATTGCAGGTGGCCTGAGGCTTCCAGGTGCTTCTCCCGATGGCTGGTCACCTAGGCTGAGGCAAGACAGGTCAGGTCAGGCTGAGGGAGGAGGCACTGGCCACTGGAACCCCTAGTGGGGCAGTGATTGTCGGGCCAGCAGCTTCCTGTAGGGGTGGGGAGTGGTGGGGCAGATATTGCACTTTCACTGTGACAGTTCCATGGAATCTTGGTCCATAAAGTAATCACTGCTTTATACAGAATGCCGGAAACAACACAAAGCTATACCTTAAAGGGAAGACCCTGAAGGTCTCACCCCTCCAGACTTTTGTTTTCTCCCTCTGCACAAAATAGCTTGCTTTCTGTGTAGGCCTGCCAGGATGGAACCGCACACACTCGTGATGTATGTGTCTACACAGCAAAGTCAGCGTCTCCTGGACCTACTCAGTCCAGCCACATGGCCCTGAGTCTGAGTCCAGCTAGGCAGCTACTCAGGCACAGAGCCCCGTCGCTGGACAGCAGGCCTGAGCTACATGGGCTCAGCCAGTGCAGGGAAGGTGCAGGAGAATTGTGCTCAGTGCTGCAGGGAAGGCAGGGCTCAGACCCAGCCTGTAGGATGCCCATCCTCGTTTGGGGAGAAATAAAATGGCTGTCTGCCGTTAAGCTGACGAAGAGAGCTGTGGCTTCTTGGATTCGACATTAAACGGAATGGCGTTAAGAAAACCTAAGAGCCCCACCCGCCCCAGAGTAGGAAGTCAGTGGAATTGTGAGTCAGGTGAGGCTAGAAGCCCACACCTTGCCGGGTGGGCCAGGTGCAGGGCCCACAGGCCAGACTGAGTAGGACCCTGTCACAGTGCTGGGTGTTCCTAATGTAGCAGGCTGCACTGACACTGAGTTAAGAAAAGGAAGCAGCCAAAGATTGCCTGTTTAAAAAAAAAAAAAAAAAAAGCCTTATAGAAACCAGATGGAGAAGTAGAAAGGCGTAGAAACGTGGTGGGCATCAGCCATGGCACGGGCCCCCCAGCCCATGGCAGGCCAGTGTGGAGGTGGAGGCCAGGCTTCTCCAGGCCCAGCTGCCCGAGGTGGGCTACTAGGAACCAGCTATGCATTTTGCTGGCCTCACTCCTGTGCTGTGCTCAGGGCCCGGAGTGACACCAGTCCGGGGACTTCACTGAGCTCTAGGTGGGGCAGGTGGACGAGTGAGTAGCAGTCTGGGACTGCCGTTGGGCTGCCGTGGTTGCTGGCGGGCCAGGCAGGCGGCAGAAATTAAGATATGGCCTTTCTCTCCTGCTTGCGTGAAGATTTCCCACACTGGAATGTTCTGTGTGGTGACAGACCCTGGATCAGCAGATACTGGGTTTTCATGCATGTCAACATGTCTAGATCCAGGAGATGGAAACGGGTCTCCACTCGCAAAACCAGTGCAAAACCAGTGAGGTTGGACAGTTGAGAACTGAAGTCAACAGGAAGCAGGCTGGGCCCCTCCCCCCAACTGGAGCTGCTGCCAAATGGGAAGGGGCGCCAGTGGACAGGGGGGCAGCAGGCTGGGCCTAGACCCATGCCTGGCACCAGGAGGCTATGAGATCAACACAGGGCAAGATGTCCAGGAATGCCTCCCAGGCTGGGCTAAGTGGCCCATCCTGGTTCCTCTTCCATCATGGGCTGGACATCCTGCCAGCTTCCATGACCAGCTGGGCTCCTTAGAGCCTAGGGCGTGAGGCAAGTCTGGGAGGGCTGTGTTGGCATGGCCATGTCTTCCAAGGGGCCCTGGGACAAGCTCTCAGGCCATGTCTATGCTTGTTCCCAGCCACCTATGTGTGCCCAGGCCAGGCCTCCCAGTGGGGCCGGTGCCCTGGCCTAGCACCACAGAGACCACAGTCCCTCCTAATGGTGTTCTACTTGGGTCCTGTGGCTGCCCCTGGTTCAAGGCGGCCTGTCATGGCACGGCCCCAGCAGCTGGCTGCCACACTCATGCTGCGCTGGCCCCGCTGCTCACTGTCCATCTGGCTCTGTGTCCGATCATGCCGATGGCTGGGCCCACTGGGCTGGGCCGAGATGGTTCGGAGCAGGTGGTTTCGGGAGCGCAGGAAGTCACCCTGGCCGGGTAGGCCGAAGCTGCCCTTGCGCAAGGCCATGCGTGTGGCTGTGTTTCGGGCTGGACGCGCCCGATGGTTGTACTTGAGCTGGGCCAGGTGGGCTGCATAGCCATCCGTGATAAACTGCAGAGGAATGAGCAGGGCAGGCTGTTAGGCGGCCCGGGGTCCCCGAGCTGCCCACGCGCTCCTTAGTGGCCGCTCACCTGGCACTGCTGCTGCAGCTTCTTGGTGGGCCGGCCCACGATGTAGATGTGCATGGGGGACAGGCTGATGGAGCTGTAGACTGCCACATCCTTCGTGGAGCCGTAGGCCGCATGTGCGCGCAGGTGCAGCTGCGGAGGACACAACCGTAGGCACGGGCCGGGCCTCCTCGCCCTCCCCTCCTTACCCAGTCCTCCCAGGCCGCACCTCAGAGATGAGCAGCTTCAGGAAGTTGGCCTTGTGCCGGAGCGGGTCGTGCACCAGGCCGTCACAGAAGGACACCACACCGTGAGGGAAGTTGTGCTGAGCCAGCCATGCCACTACCCGCTGCTTCTGCATGTCGGGCCGGCCGGTCACGTAGATGATGAGGTAGCCCAGGTCCTGCCAGTGTCTGCAGAGGCAAAGGGCAGCTGTGGTGCCATGGCTGTTCTGTCTCTTGAGCCTCCCTCTCTCCTGCCCACCTAGAGTTCATTTGAACCACTCACTCATCTTCAGCTGAGCCTTGTGGTACTCAGCTGCCCTGAGGGCAATCCTAGACACTTACGAGGCTGAGGCAGGAGGATGGCAAGTGTAGGCAGCCTGGGCAACATAGTGATACATTGTCAAAAAGTGGAGTGTCACCCATGGCAGAGTGCTTAACACCTGCATTGTCTGAGTGAAGCCCGGGGCCTAACACTAACACTATACACAAAGCACATCTTGGCCAGGGCTTGGACAGCAGTGATGAGGATGAATGGCAGTGTCAAGGCCTCCCTGCCACTGAGGTGGGGGCAGGTCTCCTAGGTACCCTCAAGGAAGCATCCTTGGAACTGGATTGGCATCAGGCATGCCAACAGCTTGCTCAAGGACACACCGGTCAGTGTGGCACCGGGCTCCAGACGGTCCTCAGGGCTGTGCTGTGTGCACTTGGCCTGTAGCCCGCCCACCTGACAGCAGGCCCTTTGGGCACTCACCGCACCACATCCACAGCCCCGGCGCGCACCTTGGGGTCGCTGCCCATGATGGACACACTGGCGGCAAAGGAGCCATCGATGCTGAAGACCACAAACTCTGTGCCCTTGGGGAGCACAGTGATGTAGCTGTCGGCAAATGTGTGGTCTCCCCTGGTTGTCAGGGATAGCTCGTCAGAACCAGCCAGAGCACCCACCCACTCCCTCCCTCCCACTCTCACCTCGCCCCTCCTGTCTACCCCAGCACAGGCACGTACCTGACCACCATCTTGATGGGGTAGACGCCCACCCCCAGGCGGTGTGTCTCTGGAATGGTGTAGGAGACACGCCCACTGTTGTTGGTCACCAGAGTATCTAGGTACAGCCACTCACCTGAGGGTGGCTGCATCATGATGTGCACATCCACCTGAAACCCAGGGAAGCTGGTTACAAGCTGGCCAGAGCCTGGGCTTAGCCCCCACCCCCTGGTCGGGAACAGAAGTACTACCTCAGGGACCTGTGCCTCACCTTCTCCCCGGTCAGGGTGACCATGTCCAGGGGCCCGTACATGAACCGGCCTGT